CAGAAGGAACTGGACCGGTCAACTGATTCCCATAAAGGCCTAGCCAGTAAATTGAGGTCAGGAGCCCAAGCTCAGAAGGAACTGGACCGGTCAACCGATTGTCAGAAACTCCAAGCCGCTCCAGTGAGGCCAGGAGCCCAAGCTCAGAAGGAATTTGGCCGGTCATCTGATTCTCAAAAAGCCGAAGCGCCGTCAATGAGGTCAGGAGCCCAAGGTCGGAAGGAATTTGACCAATCACCCCGTTGAGATACAGATCCAATCTAGCCAAAGCAGTCATTGAGCCTAATTCTGCCGGCAGCAGAGATGACAATGGTACTGTAATGCCGTTCTCATCGAGATGAAGACTGGACAAGGAAGTCATGAGGGTAATCTCCAAAGGAATATGTGGTGACAGATCATAAAGATTGAGGCCTTGAAGATTCAGAGATGTGAATCGTCCTTGGCTGTTGCAGGGAGGTGTAAATCCGTGACCAGAAAAATTTTGATATCCAAAGTAGGTTTCGCCAGAGCTGGAAAACCCACCAAACCCACTTGAGAACCAGAGGCACTCTTCCACCGTGTCATCCATCCACCCATGGCCCTTTATGAGAGGGTTCCAATTGTCTCCCTCAAAGGCATAGAAAAAAGTAGCAAGAGCAATCAGCTGCACCTTCCTCCACTCTGGAAGAAACGTGACATTTTGGTGATTAACTAGCCATTGCCATGCCCTCCACTGTGGGGTCTCACTGCCACTGTTGATGCTTGCCAAAGTGGTGTCAGAAAGACTGTCCAACAGCACATCTAGAACTCCAGTTGGAGCAGAGGATGGCACTTTGGATGGTTCCATGGAGCCATAAACTGTGGGTGCCTCAGTTGTCTGCAGGATAACCACCTCTGGCTCCTTCTTTTGGGTTCCTGCCACAGCTCCAACAATGATGGCTGTCACAATTAACAACATGACAAAGAAGAGAATAAACATCTGCCTCTGCTTCCTCTTCTTTTGTTCTCTCTGTCGAACCTGTTGTAGATCAACTGGATCTGCTGATGGCCTTGTGTGATCTTCTGGATCTTCATTGACCAAGTTTGCCCGTGGCAACCGATTATTAGCATCTGTATCAGGCACCAATGAGTCTGGGTTTGTCACAGTACCAACAGTTGGCACTGGGTCTGCTGGTGCGAGTTCAGGACGTGGGGCATCAGTGGAAGTGTCATCAATGGCAGCACGAAAAAGGCCCTTGTTGAGAGTAAGTGTGCGTTGCATGGACTCTCCTGGGATGTTGCTGTACGCTCCAGGTCGAGGTAGCTGCATGTGCTGTTGGGCCAGCGATTGACGGCCTGCAGTATTATGAGCACTGGCTTCATTTGAAAGTGTTGCATGAATTTGTCCTTGTTCTTCTGTGGGTGGAATGATGATACCGCTTCGGTGTTGCCCAGATGATTTTGAGGGAAAGAATGAAAGCCATGGGTTGTTAAGTCGAGCTTCCACCGCAGAAAGAGCTTCAAAAGTAGAGCTGTTGTGGCTCGTTTCTTTGGAGCTTGGCATTGCTGGCATTTGCTGTGTGCTGCAATCTTTTCTGCCAGATCTCCTTTGTTGTGTGACTGCTTTTCCTTTGGCAGGAACTCTAGCTGACCACTTTGTTGAGGGTTGTTAAACCTTGCTTGGATAGTTGCAAGAACACTAGAAGCAGAATCCACATAGATTGCCATATCATTACTCTTGCTGTTGTCTTGTTTGTAACTGCCATCTTTTTGGCCCTGGTGTCGACTGTCTTTGGCCGCTGGTTTTTGGTCGTTTTTTCCTTCTTTGCTGTCTTTTGTCGTTTGTTTTGTGCTGTCTTCTGCTTCACATTCTTGAAACAATTCTTCCGGTGTTATGTTCCTATCACTACTATTGCTTTCCGTGCCAATAGTAGTAGTAGTAGTAATAGTAGTAGTAGTAGTAGAAGCCAATGGCTGTTGACCACTCTCCAAGGTTCCTGAAGGAGGGACGGGGTCTCTTCTACTACCATCACTCTTGGTTCCACTATTATTTCCATCGAACAACGTTGCCGGAGGAGTCTCTGTTTCATCGTTCACCGTCACCGGAGAAGCTTCCTTGTTGTTGGGAAAAAGTGGTGTGTTGTTGCTGCTCATGTTTGCTTCCGTCTGCTGTGGAATTCAATTCAATTCAATCCGACAATAACCAAAAGGGTCTCAACAATATTAATTATACTATAATGAATTGTCCCGCTATAGCTTTTTTAAAAGCCTCGATCGTACCATGCAGTACGGTACTCATGCAACCAGTGTTCTGCGTCCAGCTTCTTTCTCACAGTCTCGTATCAGCAACAAGCTAGCTAGCTATGATAGCCAGATAGCCTGTCAACATCGGGTCTTCTTTATCTCTGTTTTGCCACCGGTGCGTCATGAGAGCTGCGTCGCTGGCTAGGTGTAGGTGCAAGTACTAGCTAGCTAGTACAGTACCACCGCTTGGATGCTGAAGATACGATTTTCAAAGCCAGCAAGAGCTGTATTCTACGAATTTTGTCTTGGAAGGCGTCCAAGGTTTGTGAGAGCTTTGACGCCGGACGTTTTGGTACGGTATTCAAAGATTATTTGCACGAGCCAATGCAAATTCTCTCGGAAACAGAAGACCACAAGACAACGCCATCCAAACAACTCAACAACAAAGCAAAAGCCCCAGCCAAGAACCCTGGATCTAACTAAGAGCGTTGATTGATGCATTGATTGATTGATTGACAACGAAATAGACAGAGACTGTGTGGATTTGATTGTCTGGTTTGGTTGGTTGAGACTGTTGCTGTAGCTAGTGATTTTGTCTTGGTCCAGCAACAACAAAAATACGTTCAACGCGAGAGAGAGACAAAACACGACCATGACGGACCCACCTGCATCATCGTCCACGACGGCACGCCGCCGCAAACGGCGTCGCAACAAGACCCCGATCAATTTGGATGGCATTCGTTCGGTGGCACGTCCGGAACAAGTCATGGCGCACTCGTCGTCTCCTACAGCGTTGGTAACGGGAGGTCAACAACAAGAATTATTAATGACGGATGATTTGTTGTTTGCGCTGGATGCGGTCGAACAAGATCCCGTCGTATCCGACATATTACAGCGGCAGAAATCTGTTGAAGAGCCATCAGCTGAACAAGATGAACATCAAGATGAAGAAGAGCCACCATTGAAACGAGCTGCTCTCAGCGACACAAGCGACAAACCAACTCCCGTGACACGGTTGGTCACGGCCAGCGACAACCATGGCGAGGAAATGGCAGAGGGGAATCGATCCAACCATGACCACGACATTCTCACGTCACCCATGGTCTCGTCCAACCACAAAAAGAGAGCCACAATTACAGAACAAAATTCGCAGCCGACCATGGCAGCAACAATAACAAGCCTAGCTGTTGCTGCCGTGGACAATAGCACGACGGAAATTCAAGGTTCCAGCAGTACCGTCACGGAGGAAAGCAATACATGTAATGGCAGTGGAGGAACAACAATACCAACTCAAGAACAACAACTCAACAACAACAGCAATGGCAGTGACAGCACCACGCCATTCGAACCACCACGCCATTCATCTCCACAAAAACGAAAATTGACCACGGAGGAAAATGCGCAAGAACCAGACGACAACAAAATTACCGAGCAGCAACCACAGAATTCTGCAGAGAACGCCACAAACGAAATTGCAGGGGGGACGCATAGCAGTCCAAGTGGATCGGTGGTTGCCACCGTGGATGAAACGAACAATGCTGCGGATGAAACAGTCTGGCTACCAGTCTCGTACATTCCACCACCCAATGCCGTCATGATTTGCAAATGGAACAACGATCATCATCATCCCGGAAACTTGGAGTTGCAGCGATTGGTTCAAACTCACTTGGCAGAATACCAAGCCGTCCTGGGAAATGATATTCGACACAAGACACTTATTATTGAACGACGAATTCTAGCACCTCTTGCACAATTCCAAAATGCCACAACAAACATGCCCTGTTTTGTACGATTTGATACCACGCATCAAAGATGGCATCGTCTGTCACTCGCCGAACAGAAAAAATACACGGCACGAGCATTTCGCAGTATGGCCGCAAAAAAAGAAACTCCTTCCAAGACTCCACCTCAACGACGACAAAATGAACACGATGCGCACAAAGAAATAGAACACGACGACGGCGACGACGATGCCCAGCTGCTTCCCGTAAGCTACATTCCACCACCCAAGGCTGTCATTGTGATGCCAGGCATAGTAGATGCGAACAAGAACGATCCTGGAAATCAAGAGTTGCAACGATTGGTACAAGTACATTTACAAGATTATTTAGAAGCAACAGATGACAACAACAACAAAGTCACGGTGATTCAACGATATGTCCTCCAACTTGTCGCCAAGTTTCAGAATGCCACAACAACTCCTTGTTTTGTCAAGTTTGTCAATCAACGATGGTATCTACTTTCATTGGACGAGCAGAAAAAATACATTACACACGCATTTCATCAGATTGCCAAGGAAAAGAAGAGTACTACGCGACAAAGTAGTGATGCCAAGGAAACTCGAAACAACAACAACAACAATGACGATGAAGAGGAACACACGGATCATGATGATGCTCAGTTGCTACCGGAAAACTACAGTCCTCCTCCCAATGCTGTCATTCTGGGACGATCCAATCCACCTGGCAATCAACATTTTCTCAGTCTCGTACAACGGCATGTACAAGAATACCGAACTGCCACGGAGTGGGGACAAAAAACCAGTGTTGTGCATCAAAGGGTCCTGACACCGCTGGTCAAGTTTCAACAAACTACTACTACTACACGTACTAATTCTTCTTGCATGATGATGAAGAAGCATGATGCAGGAGCACTCTTTGTCAAGTGGGATGCCAACAAGAACCGATGGTATCGCCTTTCACTCGAGGCGCAGATTAAATACTCGGGGCGAGCATTTCGCGATGCCGCAGGAGATTACAAGAGTAGCAAGAAACGAATTCTTCCCCAACAGCAACAACAACAGCCGGATGGTGAAGAGCCACCACCACCAGAATCTTTGTCGAAAGAACACGACAACACTGCCACGACGACAAGTGCAGACGATTCGGTTCCGGCTGCAGCCAATGACTCGACGAGTACACAGCAACAGCAACTACAACAGCAAGAAGCAGAAGATGTCGGTGTGTTTCTGCCAGCGGATTACAGACCCGCCAAGGATGACGTTATTGTGGGAGATGGTGGTACTGGATTCGAAAGCAACCCAGGGAATCAGCAATTGCGAGAATTGGTACAGTGTGCCTATTCGGCGGGGCAAGATCCACCGGCGGACAGTGTCCTCGAAAGCATCATGAAGGAACAGAAAAAGTCCATGTTTGTCCAAAATCGCGACGACGACAAGGGATGGTATCGACTCGGAAAGGCCGAACGGAAAAGCTACATTGTGAAGGAATTCCATGCCGTAAGGAGTCTGCTACAAACCAAAAAGAAGAAAAAGAAACAGCCGTCGTCTTCAAGACACCAACAATCCAGCAATGCTTCCGTCAGTATTGCCGGTAGCAATATGACGACGACGACGACGACGACTGGCCAAGTCAAACGATTGGCCAGAAAATCCACGGCCGGAAAGGCACCTCGGAAAATGCCATTTTCGTCAGCAGCAGCGGCGGCAGCAGCAAACCAAGAGCAGGCAACGGTCACAACAAATCACAACCACGACAAACACAAGAATAATGCGAAAGGGGTTGACCCATCGAGTCAAAGTGCTCCACCGAAACTGGCCGCTGCTTCTGCCACCGGAAGTGACAACGGTGTGGCTCCGGTTGCTTCTGTAACTAGCAAGACCCCAGCAACCCGCAAAATGGCTCCACCACCGCCGCCACCACCACCAGCCAGAAAAACGTCTGAAGTGGCACATGGAAGAAGTGACAACTCTGTTGCTTCTGCGTCTTCTGGAACTGCTACGACGAATGGCAAGAATCACACAACCGGGCCAGCAGTTGCTCCACCCCCGCCACCGCCTCCCAAAAGAAAGGATTCGCGTCAAATGTCTACCACCCGATCGGACAATAGTGTCGCATCGTCCTCTTCTTCCGCAGCCGCCGGCAAGAGAGGCACGGCCGCTCCACCACCGCCGCCACCTCCAAACCGGAAGACGTCGCGCCAAGTGTCTACAACAGCAGCAGCAGCCAGATCGGACAGCAGTGTTGTGTCGTCTGCTTCTAAAAAGGCTCCACCGCCACCTCCTCCCAAAAAGGCCTCCAGTAGAACCATTTCAGAAGCTGATGGATCCAATGCCAGTGTTGCCTCAGCTTCAAAAAACTGCTCGGCTGCTCCACCGCCGCCGCCACCACCACCACCTCCAACCAGGAAGACTCCTGCTGCTGCTGCAACTGCGTCGAGATCTAGTGATAGGAGTGTTGCGTCGGTTTCTTCTGCTGCCTCGAAGAATAGCAAGAGTACTCATGCAGCAAGTAGCACGGCTGTTGCGGGATCTACCAAAAAGGCTCCACCCCAGAAACCTGGTTCTTCCAGATCGGATGACATTGTTGTCTCGGCTTCTCCTGCATCAAGCACGGGTCCACCCAAGCCGCCTTTGTCCACTACGAAAGAAACTGTATATTCTTCTCTAGCCCGAAAGATCACAAACGGCAGTCAGCCTCCGCCATCAACCAACGATAGGGCTGCTCCTTTTGGATCTCAATTGACAACAACGTCGCCTGCAACAAACAATCAGACGAACTCAGTCGTGGCAGATGCTTCATCTCTTTCAAATGCAACGACTGCTACACCGATGAATCGCAAGACGAATGACAGCCCGAATGCCACGAGTACCTTGAGCGCGGGCAGCCATGAAACGACCATGACAAGCACTCACGTTTCGATTGATAGTACGGATGTGAATGATGCGAGTGCCAGCGTTCAAGAACATCCAGATGATGAGACGGCAACGGCACGTGGAGAACCTCCAAACGATTACAATTCGATCAGCAATTGTGGCAATGAGGACGCCAGTGGCGGCAACAACGAAGATGAGGAAGATGGAGAGATCAAAGAAATGACGAATGCTGCTGCAGCCGTGCAAGGAGAACGGGAGAGTTCAGTTATTGGCAATTTTTACAAAACATTGTTCCCGCAAACGGAGTCAGAAGAAGCTTCCGACGACGAAGATTTCTCAGAAGAGCAATTCCTGGCCAGCGTGCATAGAACAATTCAACAATGCGAAGATGACGCGTGGGCCAACAGCGCCACGGAGCGAACGAGGGAAAATCAAGCTGAGCGGTCGTTCCTGCAAGACTGCATTCTGGCTAGTTTTGATGAACCAGCTGAGGTTCGGGGCGGTGGCGCATCTGAAGAAACGGGTGAACCCGCACATCAACTGGGAAGTGAATTGCCACCAGATGAGGATACATCAATGGCAGCACCTCCTCCAGAAGGAAAAGAAATGGCGACTTGTGCTTCGGAAGCAACTCATGCTTCTAGTTCAGAGCACATGCAATCCGAGACCTCGCATCTGCGAGCTGAGGTATCATCTCAATCCCACGGTGAGGACGAGCCGGATCAGCTGCAGGCTGAAGCTTCTTCGCAAACACAAGGGGAGGACGAGGGGGGACTACAAGAGGATTTTCCCTCACCAGATGACGATGATGACCATGGGGTTGCGTTGCCTGAAACCCAAGGCAAAGCATCGCCGCAGGCTGGCCAGCCGCATCCGCAGCAATCACGGGAACGAGGAACATTCCCGGGCGAGGACGAACCTGCGCCACAGATTGGCACAACGCCAAGTGTCCCAGCTGCACATGGTGCAGTTCGAGATACTGGCAAACGAAAGCACTCCAATTTGCCGGCATGGATGACGCGACAACAGAGCAAAACAACAAACAGCTCCGCACAAGCGTCGCAACAACCTTCTGGACAGCAAGAAGATGCAGCCGCACAGTCTTTGAGACGCGAAACCATGCAACCCAGACGAGAGCTTCCGCCTCGAGCCGCCAGGAGGGGACAGCAACAAGCTACGAAGCTAGGCAACACCGCAGACGAACCGATTTGTTTGGATAGTGATTCGGAAGACGACGACGTTCCAGGAGTGCAGCCAGGAAGAGAACAGCGAGCACAGCATCAATCGCAAGGCGATGAAACCAGCCCAAAGAAGCTAGTTTCCCTTGTACATGTCAAGCGCACGATCCCCAAGTACTATATCAGTCGCCAGACCGGGCAGGGCAGCGCTCTGGAGAAGCAGCCGCTTTTGACTCGTGACACCTTGGTAACTCAGATTGAGATGCCCTTTCGAGACGGCCACATGCAACATTTCAAAGACAGAGGAAATGGCGATCATCACTTCTCGGTCGAGTTGCAGGATATCGAAGGGCATCCCGACGCATGGCTCTTGTTCATCCGCGGGCGCAAAATTTTGGTTGAGACATTTCGTCTACATTTCGAACAGTGGCTGCACAATGCGCTGAAGCGGCGAGTTTTCCTCGAGCTCCTGCGTGACAATAATCGGGCTGAGATTGATGTTGTGTTGCCACGTCAACCACTCCTGGACGCATGGAGGAAGGGATGCATTCAAGCTATATCCATGAACAACCGTACGGGGCTGTGGATAGACTTTTCTGAGCATCGTAAAGGGGACGACGCCATCAGACTCTTGACTCCAATCTTGGGATCCCCAATGCTGCAGAGCGACATTGTGGTGGCAATTCTACGTATTGACGGGGTGGAATATAGCAGTATTGAGGCATGGGAAGAAGTACGAAAGCGATTTCAGGGCCTCGAACAAGCTGATACAAGGGTCACGTTGGTTATCAGAAGCAGCGTGAGTCTTGATGCGTTGAAACCAAACGACGAAACCATACTGGATGTTCGTCGGAACAACGAAGGGACGTTGCCACCCACGGAAATCCAGGTGGAGGAAAAATCTGGCAATGATATTTCGAGCCTGAACCAGTCTGTGTCGAGGTCGGCGAGAAGGGAGTCTCAATCCAACAGCCCTGAAGATAGGGCTCACCTCAATGGACACTGGCATGCCAATTTACAGTTCAAGAAAAAGTATAAAGAAGTAAGTGATGGAGAAGGGGGGTGAAGGTCAAAACGCAGCTGGATGCCGTCTTCCTCACGCCAGCCCCAGATCTACGACATAGAATACCAGAGGAGCGAAGTGCATTACCAGGTAGGTAGCGTTTGCAGCAATATTTAAAGGAGACAAAATTCAACAGCATCTTATCTTCACAATCTTTCAGTTTGCAATGAAGGAAATGTGGGCACAGCACAAGCAATATTACGCTTACAGCTGTGGAGATGGTGAGATCACGAAACCTCACAAATTTTAGTTTCGCAAGAAATACAACCCAACCCCAACCCTAACCCTATTCTGCTCTCTTTATAGACTGTGAGTGTGCCTTTGACTTGGAGTTACTCACGCAAAACGTAGTTGCAAGGTTCATCAGGGAATACCCAGACAAGATGACTGGAAGCGACCTGACACATGATCATGATTCGCCTGTTGGTTTCGTCGATCGGTTCGGTGAGTTGAAGTTTAGCAGCACTGATTTGTCACTCTTGGCTGAAGGAATCTTTGCGCAAGCCTACGGTAGTCTCAACACCTAAATGTCCAATTTTTCCGTGCCAGCGGGAAAGTTTGTTCCACTGCTTCGCGACGAGTACCCTGAAGAGAAACCATCGAGAATCCTGGAAAGATTGGTTAGGATGTGGACACTCCATCTAAGACAAAGGGGTTTCGGATCGACTTGCTACGAGACTTGCACATGCGAGGAAGGATGGGGACCTGTCTTTTTTAAGGGCAATGTGCTGCGGGAGCTTCCGGTTGCTGCGTCGCGGAGAAAGCGGGCCGCGGTACCAGTGGAATCGCTGCCTAGTGTCCCTCGCAAAAGATCTCGCCCCGAAACTGCTACCCCGCGAGTAGCTGCTGCTCAACGATCCCACTTTCAAAGCACTCAAACTAATGAGCAGAGCAGTTCATTGCTTCGAGGCCAACACCAACCCCATGGTGTTGCAAGAGACGCTTGGTCGGTAAACACCCGGAGACAGAGCAACCTCAGCGATGCAGCCAGCACTACCGTGGAGCACTTCTCGGAATCGTTTACAGCTGGAATACCACTGGGTTTCTACTGTGTCACGGAACGGGCCATGAAATCGAGGTACCTCGCGTTTTGTCTGTTCCCTGTGTCTTGTGTTTATTTGGTAGGACCATCTCACCCTTTAGTTTGTCCTCCATGAAGGGTTTGTGCCATCCTGTCCGTGGACCCTCTTGGAGCCTGTGCAAAGAAAAACGCGAACATCCGGAAGGGCACGCTCGGTAAGCTTCAATAAATGACCTTTGTGTTTGCAGCAGCATCGCCTCCTCATGAGCGCGTTTTGCGGAAATCCAGTGGAGAAAATCCGAATCATGCAGGGAACTGAGCTGAAGGAATACGCCATTCACGGTAAGACTTTGGTGGTGGCTCTGTTTGTTGACCCCGACATCTTGGGATTTCTAACAAATTATCTTTCTCCTTCAAAATTCAGGCCACGAAGACATGCGAAGGTACAAAACTCTGGCAATGGAGCTTCGATCAGACCTGGTTATTTGCTTTTGCAGTGCCAAGCTTCCGCCAGCCTCTTCCCACGATGACCCAGATGCAGTGGGAGCGGACTGGACTGTCACGGGGCAATGGCAAGGAAAGAGTGTTGGCGGCTGGGCGGGAGGTTCCAACAGGAGGGTCTCGACGCAACAAGGGAACAGCCTTCCAAGAAGAACGCTCCCATCTCAACGATCTATCCTTCACTCGGGAAGCCGCAAAACTGGTTCAAGCAGCAAGCATGTCAACTTTGCCGATAATTGTGGCCTTCGAAGATTCAGTGCAAACGAGCGGGTGTTCAGATTGGAACCAGAAACGAAAGAAGGAACCAAATTCGAGACAACGATACCAGAAAGCAACGCCCACACAGGCACCCAAATCTTGGATGCTATATCCAAGGCAGTTGGCAATCGCGCCTGTGCAAACTTGATCCGGTATTTGCAGTCTGCAAAGACTGTCGTCGCCGGTAAAGACTTTAGGTTCTTCCTGTCTCAGCAACTTGACATGGCGAAAAAGAACGAGGCCGGAGATCGCATCTCGAATATTTTGAAAGCCTTCAAGTCTGCCCATGAAACTATCGCGATTGCTCAACGGCTCAAGTGCTTTCAGCGTCTTCGTGTGGAGGTGGAGAAAATTGTCGATTTTCGCCTGACTGCGAAAGGGGAGAAGAAAATTGCCGAAAAGTCATGCAAGAGCTATCTATTTCACATGGTCGACGACAAGTCCAAGAAGTTGACCCCGTCGCCGCCTCCAATGGACATGGTGAGTGGAGAAATAGATTACGGAAGTGGCAACTCTGCAGTGCCAGAGTATACTCTCGACTACAATCCTGGGGAGAGGCATTTACTGCATGTTGAGCTTCACTCAACAAAGGGAACAATGGACGCGAGATTGTCAATCCCGTTGAATGAGGTTGTTCGTGATCATTTAAAGACCGACCCGGCTGCAACGATTGTAAGAGAGTTTCGCGTGGGACACGATGGACTCCTCGAAGGTGGAGTCAAGATGCAGCTTCGCGTGGAATTGCTGAAGGACAAGTTGACTGATCGCGGTGAGCCCTTCATGTCGTGATTTGCCGTTTGTGTTTTCCATGTACTTTTCTAATCGGTCTTGATGTTGATCACTACACAGAACTCTCAAAGAAGATTGCGGTAAAGGCAGACAAATTTCAAAACATGCTTGATCAAATGAAAACGATCAATGCCATTAAAAAAGAGGAGGAGCCAGCGATACATGCTCGAATCTATGGAGAGCACGGCTTTTCCCTTCTACACGCCGCGGTTGCGTTTGGTAAAAAGGACCTGGTGCAACAAATCTTGAAGTTGGATGCCAATCCCATGGCACCTAGTTCGATGGGAACAGCCATAGTGTACTCGGGGAGGAAGAGGCTTGCCGCAACAGAGAAAGTGAAGAAAGTCAAGTTGAGCCGATGCAAAACAGCGGATCTGGTGAGATTCGACTTTCACCTCGAGCTTGCGAAATCGCAGAACAAAAGGGAATTGCATCTCGAGGAGCAAGCAGTCGAGATGAAAACCATAGCGTACATGATACGAAAACATGCAAACCCCTTTGCTGACAAAGAGGGACCAGGTGGTCTACACGATGGACCGGGATCGGGTGGTCCAAATGATGGACCTGGATCGGGTGGTGCCAACGGAGGACCTCGACCGGACGGTTCAGATAAAAGACCCAGAGAACGCGATGATGTCTCTGATCATAAGCATGTCTCTTGGCATGACTGGGACGCTGATCCAGGTGATTCAAGCCAGGTAGAAGCTGCGGCGAACCAACAGAGCGCTGTTTCGTTTGAGGCAAACCGAGTGAGCCCCCAAGTCTATTCGCTGCTTCAGTATTTAGGACAACAAGCCAAGCCAGGCGACAAATGGGTTGAATTGGACGCAATCAAGACGCACTGTGGCGCAGAAGAGTGGTCGGAATTTGACAATGCCTGTGCGTCCGCCACTTCAAAGGGCTTGATCCAGTGGGGTTATTTGGACGAGACAATTTTTGGCGCCGATGTAGAATCCCTCTCTCATAGAACTTCGGATGATGGCGAAGAAGGAAACCATCTCCGTCTGACAGATGCCGGTGAGGGTTGCTTGGCTTCAACGCCGACCCCAGCTGACAACCAAAATGGAGCACACCATTCTGCCTCCAATGCCAACAATACTTCACAAAGAGGACATGGACAGGTGTCCACTTCCACCTATGCCTTCCTCCAATCGTTGACCCCCACGACACCAGACGATGACTGGGTGGGCATGTCTGCTGTTGAAGAGGCGTTCTATGTCAATTTAGGCCAGAGAGATGTCAGTGTCTTCCGAAGAGTTCGAGAAGAAGCAACAAACATGGGTCTTATTGAATGGGGTCAGATTGACACTGAGACTTTTGGAGATTCTGAGGTAGAGTTGGCATCGCCCAGTGACTTTGACAGCACTGCGAGCAATGCACTGCTGCGACTTACAAATCTGGGCGGTGAAATGCTCTCGAGAGGTCCACCGGCAAATGATCATGCAGAAAGCACCCATGTTGAATCTCAGGGTGCGGGTCGCAGCAGGAGCCAAGAAAGTCAGTCAGGAGTCAGATCAACAATTTCAACTTCTGCCTATGTGTTCCTCCAATCGTTGACCCCCACGTCACCAGACGATGACTGGGTGGGCATGTCTGCTGTTGAAGAGGTGTTCTATGTCAATTTAGGCCAGAGAGATGTCAGTGTCTTCCGAAGAGTTCGAGAAGAAACAACAAACATGGGTTTTATTGAATGGGGTCATATTGACACTGAGACTTTTGGAGATTCTGAGGTAGAGTTGGCATCGCCAGTGACTTTGATAGCACTGCGAGCAATGCACTGCTGCGGCTTACAAATCTGGGCGGTGAAATGCTCTTGAGAGGTCCACCGGCAAATGATCATGCAGAAAGCACCCATGTTGAATCTCAGGGTGCGGGTCGCAGCAATGTCAGCAGGAGCCAAGAAAGTCAGTCAGGAGTCAGATCAACAATTTCAACTTCTGCCTATGTGTTCCTCAATCGTTGACCCCCACGTCACCAGACGATGACTGGGTGGGCATGTCTGCTGTTGAAGAGGTGTTCTATGTCAATTTAGGCCAGAGAGATGTCAGCGTCTTCCGAAGAGTTCGAGAAGAAACAACAAACATGGTTTTATTGAATGGGGTCATATTGACACTGAGACTTTTGGAGATTCTGAGGTAGAGTTGGAATCGCCCAGTGACTTTGATAGCACTGCGAGCAATGCATTGCTGCGGCTTACGAATCAGGGGAGTGAAATGCTCTCGAGAGGTCCACCGGCAAACGTTCATGGGGAAAGCACCCATGTTGAATCTCAGGGTGCGGGTCGCAGCAATGTCAGCAGGAGCCAAGAAAGTCAGTCAGAGTCAGATCAACAATTTCACTTCTGCCTATGTGTTCCTCCAATCGTTGACCCCCACGTCACCAGACGATGACTGGGTGGGCATGTCTGCTGTTGAAGAGGTGTTCTATGTCAATTTAGGCCAGAGAGATGTCAGCGTCTTCCGAAGAGTTCGAGAAGAAACAACAAACATGGGTTTTATTGAATGGGGTCAGATTGACACTGAGACTTTTGGAGATTCTGAGGTAGAGTTGGCATCGCCCAGTGACTTTGATAGCACTGCGAGCAATGCATTGCTGCGGCTTACGAATCAGGGGAGTGAAATGCTCTCGAGAGGTCCACCGGCAAACGTTCATGGGGAAAGCACCCATGTTGAATCTCAGGGTGCGGGTCGCAGCAATGTCAGCAGGAGCCAAGAAAGTCAGTCAGGAGTCAGATCAACAATTTCAACTTCTGCCTATGTGTTCCTCCAATCGTTGACCCCCACGTCACCAGACGATGACTGGGTGGGCATGTCTGCTGTTGAAGAGGTGTTCTATGTCAATTTAGGCCAGAGAGATGTCAGTGTCTTCCGAAGAGTTCGAGAACAAGCAACAAGCATGGGTTTTATTGAATGGGGTCAGATTGACACTGAGACTTTTGGAGATTCTGAGGTAGAGTTGGCATCGCCCAGTGACTTTGATAGCACTGCGAGCAATGCATTGCTGCGACTTACGAATCAGGGGAGTGAAATGCTCTTGAGAGGTCCACCGGCAAACGTTCATGGGGAAAGCACACCTGTTGCTTCTCAGGGTGCTGTGAGCCCAAGCAATGCTTCTTTGGAGGCGACTGCCGCAGTGACCGCCATTCAGCACTACCCGCTACCCGCCTTCAAGGCACCACCCAAATGTCCAGATATGAAATCATTTTTGCAGTGTATCTTTGGCAAGTTGGCTTCCAGCAAGCCCTTCGGTTGGGTCAGCATGAATCTTGCTGTTGCCAACTTTGCGTTGGCTTATGGTCCTTCCGAGGCTTCAATGCCGAATCTCGAGGCCAGGCGGGACTATGTCGCTCCCGATCTTGCATCATGGTGTTTATCGGCAAGGCAAGACAAGCTTCTGGAGTGGGGACGAAGTGACCCTTCCAAGCATGATCTAGTTCAGGTGTGTGGCCACGGACAAGTTGAGGGGCACAGCATGGATGCGTTTTTGAGGCTTTCAGATGCTGGGCATAATGTTGCATACCCGAATGAAAAACGAGGCTCCAAAACATCAGCCAGCTGGTGGCACAGTTCCGTGGAGTCAGGCTTGCAACATCACCAGCAAACACAATCATCACCACGCGATGATTCCAGCAGACGCTCTTCGAATGCTTCTGCTGTCGAAGAGCGCAGAAGACGGTCCGGGAGAGCCTCGATTAGTAGCCATGAATCTGGTGGACATCACCATGGACATTCTCGGTCATCGGCCACAAATGCGGCGATCGGAAGGACGTACTCAAGAGACAGTGCTTCTACCGCTCGCAGTGCTGATCGTAGAAGTGCTGATTCGGATTTAGGTTCCAGGTCATCCAGAAGAGAAGATCGGAGAGACAGCCAACATTCTGGAGGTGGAGGCAGCCGTGGCAGTTTTGAACGGAGCGGCAGCCATCACTCCGAAGGACAACGCAGCAATCACGCTGAAAGTCCAGCTATCATTGATGCTGGTGGTAATCCGGACTGGTTCCTTCCGAACACATATCGGGGACGAACTCGATGTCAACATTTCAAAGGGGTCGAAATTGAGAGAGATAACTGCAGATTTGGTATCAAGTGCCATTATGCTCACGTGCAGCCGCGATTTGGAAGCCAGTACATGGATTACTGGTACGAGGAAGCTAGGAGCGTACCTGTTCCTCTGTTGGACAATGTGATCTTCGGAAAACGCACATACATGGACGAATGGGGTCGGACGCAAAAAGAAATCACAGCAGTTTATCAAGACCCCAACACGATGATATATTATCTGGCGGAGGGAGGCAAGACGCGCCTTGATGGGCAGTTCAATTGGTACCCAACCACGGATGCGGCGAAATCAGCTTTGGAGTTCTCGTACGTCTTCAGTCAGCCACGCTATGCGGAACAATATCGAAGAGTTAGCAGGTAGCGACGCAGCGATGTAGTAACGAACTTTATTAAATGGGGATTTGTTTATGAACGGAGACAACTCAACCGGAATACCGATCAAGGGCCCTGCCGTTGGACCATCGTTGCTGGCCGATTTCCGGTGAGCGTATCGTCTTTACTAGCCCCTAGCGGCTGGTGCATGAATGCTTGTGTCTCTTGGACTGGCCGAGAATGATTGCTGTAATGTTTCGTACAGCAGCGAGCATGCATGAACAAATAGACTTGCAAGAAGACCATGGGCCCAGTTCTTGGCCGGCAGCTCAAAGCATGCTTTTCCCTACGACTATCTTTCCATGCCTTTGCTACAGTACTGTTTGACACTTGATACTGTACGATGGTTTCCGTTTTGGCACCACGAAGGCCGATCCTCGCTTTCATCCGAACTGGGCGACTTGTCTTGGGCATTCTCCATCGACCATCCGCTTGTGTGGGGTTTTCCCAGTGGAACGGACGCCACACCTCTTGCATTCATCGCTGCTGTGACCGTGGTATTCTCCTCTACCTTTCTCATTGTCGTTCTATCGATTGACTGGATTCGATTCACACGATCAGCCGCACTCGTCGTCGCAACAAGATGATGAGTACCGGTACAGTAGATGATGCCGTGGTCTCAGCCAGTACGGCGCACAGCTTTCATGACAAACATGTACGAACTGTAGTCGATTGATGCGGGTGATGTATTTGTATGCATGACTGGAGCAGCCCCCCAAAAATGTGCTCGCTAGCAGGTGTCTGTCCGGCCATGTCGTCGTTGCTGCTGGCGATGGTGATCGTCGAGCTACTGGATGATGTCAAACACGAGCACGATCAACACTATTGCATCTTGCTTTTGGCGGAGCATGCCGCTGCTGATGACGATACAATGTACATGTGCGGACAAGGGCAAGGAAGGCACAGACGATGGATTGGACGACTCGACTCGGATAGTTTCAATTCTACCACAGAAGAAGAGGACGAGGAGGAAGAACGCCCGGCAATCTTGAAGGTACACGAGTGGCTTGTGGGGTCAATTTGCCAGAAATCTCGTTCACTAAACGTTAACGAGGACCGTGCTGCACATGCGATATGGTGTTTTGGTTTCGTCAATGGACAGAGTATCAATGATGTCTCATACGATCACCACGGGGCATGCGAGCATCGCCGGATATTAGAGTATTGATGATGTCTCGTACGAACACTTACGGGACACGCACCGGCTATGATGGAGGACCCTTGAGATTAACCATAAAAGCATCGGCATCCTCTGTGGCAAGGCGAAATGAATCCTACAGTAGAAGTGGTTGTTCGGTAGGTGACAAAACGCAGCACTAGCTAGCTGGAGGGGTAAGCAACGTGAAGGCGGGCGCATTGGCTATTTGTAAAAGGAAAACGTCTCATCTCAATGCATCGCATTGCTTCAGTGTAGCACATACATGTACGGGTTGTGCATCATCAGCCAGGAGACTTTGGTTGCGACTATTGATATTCTAGCTAGTAGCTACCGGTACTGCTGCTAGCAGACTGCGTGAAATTAGCCAATACTACCGTAGGGTAGTTTCACGCAGCGGCTAGTTTCACGCAGCCCGTTAAATAACAGTTCTCCTCTGAAGCTCGTTTCTGCATCCTGCAGTATTAATAGTCTTCTGCTCTCTGGTACTCTTTTACTATAATAAATAATTATATATAAGGGGGTTTAGAGTAGGGAAATTATCTACGGAAGCCAGCCGGGGCCAGGCTTAAGCAAAGAACAGTCGAAATTCAGGACTAGGTTCTGTGG